GCGGCCCTGGGGACTGGACATGCGCTCTGCATTTCGCCGAGGACCGGAGCTCAGGGCTGCCAACATCTAGCCCACCCCCCTCGTTCACATCACTGCCCTCGTGTGCATCTGATTCGGCCAATCCGGGTTTAAGAGATTTGATGAGCAGAAAATCGTTCAGGGGACACGGGGACCGTGGCATCTGTCTCTTCAGCCTGCAGCTGCAGCGAATCAGACCGAGGCCCCCTCCCTCAAGTTCTCACGGAAGTTGTTCGGTCTGTGGGACTTCTCAGGTCCACACAAATCGGTTCGCTGTGCTGGGTTCTGGGTTCGGGTGGCGGGAAGGTTCCAAAGCTCCGCAGTTCGGTCAAGGCGAGAGATGCAGTTCGTGAGGTACACCAGCAGGGGGCGACTCTCCTCGCTGTGCCTTTAGCGGCAGGGTCGGGGTCAGAGAGAGAGACGGGAGTCACTTCGCAGCGGGGGCTACCAGGACTCCAGCTGCTGAGAAACAATCCCTCAGTCCTCCTGGGTCCCGGAACGATCCTGTGTCCTTGCCCTTTCTCACAGCTGAGGCCCAGCCTGCCTGGCGTCGTGGGCTCAACAGTGACTGGCTGGGCCCGGACAGACTCCAGGGGCCCAAGGACAGCCTCAAGAGGTGCGCCCACCCGGCTGAAACCCTTCCAGCCTGTGATCAACGGCCTAAGGGCACGCCTCTGTCCTCCCTTCTCCCGGCAACCTTCTCTTCCTCCTGGGACGCCTCAGCCTTGCTGGCCCCTCAGGGGTGACCCTCAAATTAAGTACTATGTGCTTGCCAGTATGTTCAGGGTCTCATCTATGTTAGTTAAAATCCCAGCAGTCTTCCTCCAATTAAAAACAAACCCAACAATCACATAGGGTAGGTCATTGCGCCGTCATTGTTGTTCAGTTATTAAGTCACGTCCAACTCTTCGCGACCCCATGAACTGGAGCAGGCCAGGCCTCCCTGTCCCTCACTATCTCCCGGAGTTTGCCCAAGTTCATGTCCATGGAATCGGTGATGCTATCCAACCATCTCTCCTCATAACATAGGTATTAATCCCCATTTTACAGGTGGGGAAACTGAGGCTTAAACAGGAAATATCACTGGCCCAAGGCCAACCAACTAGCAAGCAGTGGAGTCAAGATTCATATTCAGGCCTTTGGGACTCCTCTTTCCTGGAATGCTTTCTTCCCGTGAAGGAAATTTTAGAGTCAGCCTGTGGAGGCAAGGGGAGTAGTTGGTTAAGCTTTGAGGGCAGAGGACGAGCCCTTGCCCAGGCCCAGCCTGAAACCACTCCATACGGGCCACTGTTCTGTTGGAGTCACCCAAGGACAGGGGCAGAACCTGGAGTCCCTCCAGCGCGGCCACCACAAAGGAACAGCTCCTGCCCCTGGGAATTTACGGAACCCCTCCCACCCCTACCTGGGGTTGTAGACTGAGCGACGGGATAGGGCCCCACACATGCTGCAGCTTCTGCCTCGAACCCACAAGGAGTTGGTGGACGGGCAGCAGCCAGGCACAGAGACGCCAGGAAGGTTTGAATGACCAGCTCAGCTTTGATGGAAGCTTGATGGGGGCAAGAGACCCAGATTCTGTACAAGGCGAGCTTAGGCACCAGTGAGCATGACTCCGTCAGCAAGCCCCAGCCTCGGGAGCTCCCCCTCCCACCTACAGAAAGAGAAGGGATATCCAGGGATCACAAGTCCCTCAGAGACTCTCACAGCGATGCGAGCACGACTATCATCCTGGGTAGGAAGAGGGTGTCCATCCATGCTGCTTCATCCAATTTACCTCCCATATTCCCACCAGGCCCTGAATTCACACCGCTGGGTCTGTAGCCCCCTCCCCAGTTATGCCTGTGTGAACACCACCTTCTATGGGCAACACACCCCCATCCGATCCCTCGGTCATCGTCTCCCTCTCCTAAGACCACTGGAACTCTGTAGACCTCCCCTGTGGTGCTGAGGTCAGCCTCCTTTGTGCTATAACTGTTTCTGGGATGCTGTCTTCTCTGACAAGCCGATGGGAAGTTTCAACAGGCACCGTAGCTCCAAGTACAGGACCTCATACCCACAAGGCATGAGACACATTGGACGGATGGAAGGGAAGATTGATGGATGGATGGATGGATGGATGGATGGATGGATGGATGGATGGAAGGAAAGATCGATGGCTGGAAGAAAGAAAGGATGGATAGAGAGATGACCAGATAAACAGATGAACAAATGAGTAGGTAGGAGTGTGGATGGTCCACGGAAAGTTCAGTGTGGCCTCTGTAATTGGCCAGAACAACCAGACGCCCCTTCCAAGGAAGTAAGATTTCCCTGTTTCACTTGTCGTAGTCCCTCCCTTGCCTCCACGAATGGAAGATTTAGAGACTGTGCTGTATGGAGCTGCATGGGACCCTGGGAGTCAGATTTGTCTTCCTTCCCTCACTGAACTCCGGTCTCCCTTATATAAGATGAGGACGTGGAGTTAGATGATTCCTTGTGCCTTTCCAGACCAAAACATGTCAGCTGCTTTCCCTGAAAAGAAGAGGGAAACTGACTCAAACTAGTTCAGCTTAGAGGCTCTGAAAAAGTTTTAAAAAGATGAATGGAAGAAAGGGGGAAAAAAGAAAGAAGGGGAAGGAAGAAAGGGAGGAAGGAAAGATGAAAATTGATTCCCCTGCCCCAAATTAAAAATGTATTTTAAAAAATGCAGCTAATATGTAAGATTTCCCAAATGCATCATTTCTTTTTAAAAAAGTTAATTTCAACATACTGAATTTAGGATCACAGCATGTAAGAAGTGATGGATGCTCTGATATAGCGAAGCTGCCTCAGGCAGGGATGGTCTGGGACAGAAGATGCCAAAGAGAAGGATGGGCTGGGGGGCTGGAGTATAGAGGGGCCTTCTCTCCACGCCTCCCGACCACCCCCTTTAGAATCTGCTGTATATGTTGATCTTATGAACCCGATATACTGTTTGAGTAAAAGGTTTCTGGTGTACACGTGGGTGGGTGTGTGTTTTAAGCCTCTCAATTAACGAAGAGAAACAAGAGGCCCAGAGGGGGGTGCTTTGCCCGAGGTTGGACAGCAAGTGCACGAACACAAGCCCTCAGCTCAGCTTCAGGGATCTCAGCACGTCCCGGGGGCCAGGGGCACTGCCCCGACCGGGCCGTGCGCCAGGTCAGCTCCCGCGGTCACAGTGGGACATCACTGGGCCCCTTTAAACAACATTCCGCGAGGAGAGGAACAGACGGATAACCCAGGCCCAATTAGGAACTGGAAAATCTCAAGGAGGGAGAATGCCCGGAAGAGAGGGGCTCTTCAGGGTGGAGGCCCAGTTCTCTGCAAGCTTCCCGGTCAAAAAACCTTCCTAAAACAATCCTTTGGCCGCCTCAGAGCATAATTGAATCTTCCTTTGATGACTCCGGATCTTGCCCTGCCTCCAGCCACTCTAAGAACATCAATTACTGCTGGGTCCAGGTGGAGAGCAGAGAGGAGGGGCTGGACCCAGGTTACCCACTGACCTCGCCCTTCAGGAGGCTGGTAGCGGGGGAAACTTCAGGGGCCGGAGCCCATCCTGAGCCCTGGGAGCTGGAAGCCGCCTTGATGGATGAGGGGGCTGAGGAAGAGAATGAGAAGTCCCTCCCCAGCCAAGAAGGGGAGTCCTAGGTGGGCCCCTCCTTAACCCCCAGAGCAGACAGGTGGGATAGCTCCTAGGGTCCCTGGAAGGAGACCCCAAGAGCGAAAGGCAGGCAGGAGTGAAGCTGAAGGCCAGGCTAGGCGGCCGTGCTGAGGAGATGCAGACTTCGCAGAAATGTTGGCTCCAAGAGACAGAAGTGGGCTTAGAGTCACACTGCCCCTGCCTGCCACCTCCTGGCTGGGGAACCCGGAACGAGTTACTTAACCTCTCTGCGCCTCCATTTCCTAGGATAATGCTAGAATAGTGGCAACACGGCTGCCAGGAGGGTTAATGAACTTCATGCTGAATACTAGAAAATGGGGCCTTGGATCAGGGTCTCTGATGAGGAAAGAGCTGGAAGAATATACATCAGATCATCCATGGGGCTGGCTCTCGGGTGATAGTGGGCATTTTGGCTTGTTTTATTTCCTATATCTTTTGCAAGAAACAGATGATTTTCTATATAATTATTTTAGTCGCTCAGTCATGTCTGACTCTTTACAACCCCATGGACTGTAGCCCGCCAGTCTCCTCTGTCCCTGGGGATTCTCCAGGCAAGAATACTGGAGTGGGTTGCCATGCCCCAATCCAGGGGATCTTCCCAACCCAGGGATTGAACCCAGGTCTCCCACACTGCAGGCAGATTCTTTACTATCTGAGCCACCAGGGAAGCCCAATTAACATAATATTCAGAGGGGAAAAAAAAACCACAACCTTATGGACTGCAATTTGTCTTTAAAGGGAAACAGTTGATCAGAAGAAAAGCCCATCCAATGAGCATGGGGATGGAAGCGGGGTGAGTGTTCCCCAGGGTCTGAGATGCAGATAGGGGAGCCCTGATGGCCCCAGGAGCCCCAGGGGTGACAGCCCTGGGCCCTCAGGGGCAGACACAGCTGACATTTCCTGCCTGGATGTACCCTGCCTAGAGGCACCAGGCAGGGGGAGCTGGTGCCCGGCGGTGTCCTGTCCGCTCACGGGCAGTAACGCTTCTCTCATTGACTCTTCTCAGCTCTGATTCTTTGGAACATCAGCTCAGAGCAGACCCTGGGCCCTCAGGACTCAAGCGGCCCCACCCCCACCCCGGCCCCCAACCCATCCCACCCAGACCGCCCAGCCCTCTGTCCTGCCAGCAGTCCGGCCTGGCTCAGCCATGCCACCACCCCAGCCTCTACCAGGGCAGCCCTCTGAGGAAAGCTGGGCTTAGTGGGTCCACAGCAGACCCCTGCCGGCGTCATTAATCCCCAAAGAAAGTCAAACATTAGCCCGGGCAAACAGCTTACGCCTTATATAATTCCCCACCCCCCACCCCCCCCAACCGGGGGAAGGCGCAAACACAGCTTGTTGGAGTTGAACTGCCAAACCACAGCAGCTGCCAGATCTGGGAAAGAGCACGGGCTCCAGCCACATCGACCGCAAGCCCCACCAGAGGGAGCAGCCAGGCTCAGCTTCCAGGTGAGGAGGACAGAGACCCACCATGCCCTAGCCCCCAGGGACCCCGGGGAGGCCCCAAGACCAGGCCCTGCTTCCTCAGTGCTTCTGGCCAAGTCCCTTAAGCCCTCTGTGGGACCTGCTCAGGCCCTTTTGGCTGCCCGGCTGTGGTCTGCCAGCCCCAGGAGACAGGCAAGGGTGGGAGGCGCTGGACCTTCTCAACAGGCAACCTGGGTTCTGCCAACCCTGTGTGTCTGCTCAGGGCCACCAAGAACTCTTCCACTTACTCCTGACCTCCATCCTGGGTGGCCCACGTCCAAGACCGAACCCCTTGGTCCCCAGGGTGTGGCCTGCACTGCCCCATGCCTGCAGCAGGTGTGACCAGGCTGGCTGGACACACACTCCCACCCACAAGTACCCACATGCACATCCTCGCTCACATATTCGTGCCCTGACACTCTAGCCTCCCTGTGCCCATCTTTGCAGACACTGCTGTGGACACACCCCACCTCTGCGACCCCACGTCTGTACACGCAGTCAGGGACGTCTTCACCCACACATAACTCCGTGGGTGCACGCAGCTGAGCCCTACACCCTTACACACGTCCACATACACAGGCTCACCTTCCCACCTGGGCTTCCACACCCATCCACCTGGCGCCCACACCACCCCCATCACCTCACGTGCACACATCCCTCTCTCCGGCCTGGTGCCCCCTGCCCGCAGCCCTGGCTCATCCTGCCCGGCACCATGACTTTTGCCGAGCTTGTGGACCGCGTGGCCAGCAACGGGCCGTTCCAGTTCCTGCACACGGTCCTGCTGGGCCTCCCCATCCTCGGCATGGCCAACCACAACCTGCTGCAGATCTTCACAGCCGCCACCCCCACCCACCACTGCCGCCCACCACCCAACGCCTCCATGGAGCCCTGGGTGCTCCCCATGGGCTGGAACGGGAAGCCTGAGCCGTGCCTCCGTTTCGCGTATCCATCCAACGCCAGCCTGCCCAATGACACCCAGGGGGCCACCGAGCCCTGCCTGGATGGTTGGACCTATGACGTCAGCTCCAGGGACTCCATCGTGGCTGAGGTATGACCGGAGGCCCGGCCTCTCCCTCTGCTGACAGTCAGCACCACACATTTGTGGGCAGGGGGGCAGGCAGGGGCCCCAGTCTCCCTAGGACCCAGGGTCAGAGCTCTGGGCAGGCAGGGAGGAAGGACCTGGGCGCGGAGGACCAAAAGGTCCTGTCTCTTCACATTCAGAGTATAAACAGCCCATTCTATGTCAGGCATGGTGCCAAGCTCTGGGGAGTCAAAAATGCACTGTCCCTGTTCCCATGGGGTCCACAGTCTAGCAGGGCTAACATCAATTAATGAGAGTACCACACAGGAAATGTCAGATTACAACTTCAAAGTACTTAAGTTTGTGACCTGAGACTATAGTCTAGCCCTGGGCAGGGGGCAGGGACTGGGGTTGAGGGGGGAGACTTCTCTACAGAAGGGACCCTGGGCTGAGATAAGAGAATCCAGCAAGAGTTAGCCAGGCAATGGGGGAAAGGAGGAAAATTCCGTCTTTCACCAAGGCCTCAAGGTGGAACAATGTGTGAAGCAGGGGATGGATGGAGGGGAGGGTTGGAACATACCAGAGCAGACCCAGAAAACATGCCCTCCACTCTCGCAGTCACTCGTGTGTGCACTTCCATTCATTCACAGCTCATTTATCCACGGACTCTTTTACCTGCCATCTCTGGGAATTACAGAGTTAAATCAGGCTCTTCAATAACCTGGAGACTATGTCAGATGAAGAGAAAGGAATGGAAACTGGCATTTATTGAGTATCTACAAATAACCTGGCATATCTTAGTGTTTTCCCGACACTCCCATAATTTGATCCCTGCAATGATATTCTGTTGAAGGTGATTCTATCTCCTTTTTCAGATTTAAAAAAAAAAAAAACAAGGTTCAGAGAAAGGAAGTGAAAATTCAGTGCCATAGAGGTGGTCAGCTTCAGAACTAAAATTTTAAAATGAAAAATGCATACTAGGCTCAGAGGGACAAGCATTTGTGGCAGTACAAAAGATAGATAGAGGAACTACAGGATTCTAGGGAGGCTTCCTGGAGGAGGTGGCATCTTAGGAGTGAGCAGAGGCCAAAGTTTTCATTTTCCCTTTGGGGACCATGAGACCCTTGAGGGCAAGATCTTGCTTTTGCCCCCATTAGAAGAGATGCATTTCAAAGTATTTACCCGGTGCTAGTCCTGTGCTGGGCACATTATGAGCACAGGCTCCTGGAATCCCAGGAGATGACATCTCAGTGAGGAAAGTATTGTTAGTACCTTGAGTTCATAGACCAAGGATCTGAGGCTCAGCCAGGTTCAATGACTTTCCCAGGACCACATATGATTAGGACTTGGCAGAGAGGAGATTTGAGCCCAGGGCCATCTATATTCAGAATCTATGATTGCTATTCATTTGTTTAGTGAATGTTTCTTTCTATATAAATCACTGACCGCGTGCAAGGCATTGTCCTAAGTGCATCATAAATATTAACCCTTCTAACCTTCCTGATGTTATAAGATGTTAATGATAAGCCCATTGTTGCTATGGGGAAACCGAAGCTCAGAGAGTTTAAGCAGCTTGTTCAAGGTCGTACCACGAGGAAGAGGCAGCTGCGGGGTCTGAAGCTCCCAGCTTCAGACCCTTCAGTGCGAAGCCCGTGACCCCAGGGCCATGCTCCCCGCCATCACTTCTGCTGACTGTCATAGTCCCAGACACTTCCTCCCTGTCACATGTGCTTTTTCTCCCCAGCACCAAGCACAGTGCCTGAAATACAGCAAACCAACACGCATGGACAGCACACGCATCAGACAAAGTCAGAGAGCTCATGAGCCCGGCCTGCCCTCCTTTAGCTCGCCTCCAGTGGGCAGGCAGACCCATCCTTCCAGGGTGACCAGAAGCCAGGTAGGGTTAGGCAAGCTTCCCAGGGCAGAGGTTTTCAGCTGCTTTGCTGTATCCCCAGGAGCTGGAACAGTGCCTGGCACAGAGAGGTCCTCTGTGAAATAAATATTTGTGTAATGAATGGATACAAGCTTTATAAACTCAGGGTACTCCGGGAGCCCGGAGGAGGGCATGGAATCTGCCTGGAGGGGGAACCCAGGAGGGCTTGCTGGAGTCTGCAGCACCTGCCCTGAGTGTGAAGGAGGGGTAGGGATTAGGGGGCAGGCTGAAGCAGGCAAGTGCATCCCAGGCAAAAGGAGCAGTGTGCGTGGCGTCAAACACACAGTTGCAGAAGCATAAAGAGAGCAAGACAGTCAGGACCGCAAGAGACTGAGGAGGCTGGAGAGGCAGGCAGTGGGGTGTGGAGGCCACGGATGCAGGAAGGAGGAGGGCCTGGCTTGGATGCTGAGGCGAAGGTGCGTCCTCTGTCCCGAAGATAACGGGAACCACTGAATGCTGTTAAGCGGGAGCGTGACCTGCTCAGATCACCTTTGAAGGGCAGTCACTCTGACCGCAGGGTGGACAGCAGCTTAGGGAGCGTTTTAGTCCAGCGGCTGGGAGACCCATGAGCCGGTTGTCTTTGGGACCCAGGACCATGATGACAGACATCAGGGACAGTTGGAATAAACACCAGACAGGGTAGGGAGTCAGAATCTCTGGGACTTGGAACCTGAATGGCTGTGAGGGTGAGGGATAGGTGTGACAGTGCACAGGAGTCGAAAATGTTCTGATACCTGTAAGTTAAGTTTCCGGGTGTATGGGCAGCTTGCTGTACCACAAGCCAGAACACAGTACCTAGCTGAGGAAACAAAAAATCCTCCAGGGAGCAATGAAATAATAGCCATGAAATAATACCCCTTACTCTGTGCTCACCTCACGCCAGAAGGCTCTAAGCACTTTTTTTGGGCATATAGACTCATTCAATCTTCAAAACAACTTTCTGAGGTTATGTCATTTTTGGGGCTTCCTTTGTGGCTCAGCTGGTAAAGAATCTGCCTGCAATGCACAAGACCTGGGTTTGATCCCTGGGTGGGGACGATCCCCTGGAGAAGGGAAAGGCTACCCACTCCAGTATTCTGGCCTAGAGAATTCCATGGTCTAATAGTCCATGGGGTCACAGAGTCCGACATAACTGAGCGACTTTCATTTCACTATGCCATTTTTGCAGAAGAGGAAATCAAGGCACAGGTTACTGGCCCAAGGCACCACGTCTGATAAATGCTGGAGCTGAAAGTTAAACATAGGGAGCAGGACTCGAGCCCCCTCTCCCCCTCTCCCACCCCCTGCTCCTGGGGACCGCATCCCCCAGCCACTGCACCCTGGGCTAGGTGCTCGGCAGCGCTCAGTGAGTGCTGGGTGAAGGCCATAGCAGCAGGAGGGACTTAGACAGTGCTGACAGTTGTGAAGCCACTTCCCCTCCAGGGTGCACACCTCGAGCTTCAGGGAGCCCGGCCAAGAGCAGACCTTGCAGGTCTGGTATTCGGTCAAGCATCAGCTCTCATCCATGCCAGCTGAGTTCCCAGTCACCCTTCTGGCAGTCAGAGTCATGTGAATCTACATCCCAACCTAGTGCAGGATTTCACCAGGCCTCGGGGGTCTGCCCCTCTTCTCCTGGTCAGGCCCAGGCTCCCTGAGGATGCTCAGCCAGGAGACCCCACATCAGGATCCCTGCCCGGTCAGTGCCCAGACCCAACCAAGTGCTGGTGGCAGCCCAGCATGGTCAGACCCCTCTGATTTTCTGTCTGTGGCTCAAGCCCGTGGCAAATCCATGCTCCATCTGCTTGCAGTGGGAGGGGGTTCTGGGCCCCCGCTGTGCGGAGGTAAAGCCATGGCTGGGCTCACCTAGGGTTCACCCAGGGGTGGGTCTCTGGGGTGGAGGCCAGGCCTGGAGGTGCCAGCCCTGGAGGCAGGGCGGTCATGAGGAAGGCAGTGTCTGCAGCCAGCTCGGTCCAAGTGACCCTGGTTAGAAGCACGGGGCCATCTCCCAGGTGGACAGCGCTTGACTGAGAGCCAGCGCCGAGGAACAGAGTTCACATCCTGACTCTGCCACTCACTGGGGATGTTACAGCCCCAGAAGTCTTGGTTTCCTCATCCGTAAAATGGGGTAAGAGAGCAACTGAACTTTAAAAGAGATAATGCAAGGTCAGCATTAGCACAGGGCCCGGTGCCTACCAGGCATTCAACTTATGTTGACTGCCGCTGTTGCTCTTACGGTCATTAATAGAGATGTCCTGAGAAGGAGGGGGTTAGTCCCCTCAGAAGAGTAGGGGGACCCTCAGTAAAATGGGAATCAGCTCTCACAGCTCTTCCAGGCTCACCCAGGCCCCCACCCAGCACAAACCTGCACACAGGGCCCCTCTCCACCCCCACAGCTGGGGCCCTGGTGAGTCATCTCCCTCCCCATCTCAGTCCCCTCATCTGTAGAATGGGATCATAAGGACCTTCCCTGTGGAGGGGGTGAGGGTGGGAAGACGGCGCTGGGTCTAGCCAGGAGCACGGGGACTTTCCCTGCCCCCCTCTGATCCCATAAGCTCCCCTGGCAGAGGTGACCGCACATTCCTTTCTCTGGGTTCAGCAGAGACAAGGTTGGAATTTTTCAGAAGGAGCTTTACTAGCACATTAGGAGGAAACAAAGGCCTTTCTTTGAAGTCTGGAGAGTGTGGGACGTGTGGGTTGTGGTTTCTGGGTTCTCTGGAGAGGAGCCATAGGCCATAGCTTTCACACCACAGAACCCAGACCTGCGGGTGCCCAGCTCAGCCTGGGGGCTCCTGAAGGCCTGGGTCTGGCCTTGGATGGGCAGGCCCTCCCCGCTGAGGTACCTGTGATTCCTTTCTGGGCCTGGAGTCTTCCTGTCCTCTTTCTGGGGCCACAGAAATCCGGTCCCCCCCCCAGGTCCCTGGAGGCCCCAAGTCAGCAGCTGGAGAAGCAGAGAACCTGCCCAGTGGTTCCCCGGAAGTGGGTCTCCACTCTCAGGTTGCCCTGCTGAGTCTCTGGTCTTCCTCCATCTCAGCCTCCAAATCTCCAGGCTGCCCACCTCCCAGGCCACCTGTCCATCTCTTGTCTCCAACTGAGCTCCTGCTTCACCCCTACTTGC